TGAAATACACCTTTTCATGCTTTGGTAAGGAGGTAGACAAGTAAAAATTGAAATTTTAGTATTAGATATGTAAATAAGTAGAAATAGAGTGGTATGCATCTAAATCATGCACGTTTGTTCTTCGAACCGGTTCCTATATGCTTAATCTCTGTATTTTTTAGCTACTGGGCTTGTTGGATGGCTTGAAAGGAATAACAACAGAATCAGTCGCATCACAGTGTGTTCTTAAATCATATTCAAATGAAAACATACAGCTTATAAACAGAACAGATATAAAGCAAATAGCTCAATTTACTGCATATTTCACAAGTAATATTGGTCAACAGCAGTCATGCAACTTTGCAGCATTTCTACCAATGGAAGAAAGAACGCCATTACAAGTAACTGGAGATTAACTTTTTATGCATACCTATTGTTAAATAATATGTTATAAGAGTTTCACGATGGATGCATTTTTCATTCTGAATGAAATATTTCAACAATATGAATGATTTTTCAGAAGGCAGAATGGATAAAGTACTTGGCTGCTTTCACAAATTCAGAAGCGCGAGCTAACTTGGTGTATGATGCAGTAAGTTTGATAATCTTTTATTATCTCTTTTCTTTTTAAAAGAAAAATTTGCATTTCTACGACACATGTACCGCACAATTCTTATGCATTTACGCACCTAATACTCAAAGTTTGATATTTATACTTATAACATCCAAGTGTCATGAACTTGTGCATAAAAATGTGTATTTCACATTTAGAAAGATAGTGGTGGTAGTATTTTCAATGTGATGTTAAATATTTGAGTGGCATGCATGTAAATATGAATGTTTGTGTTACATATGTAAACACATGCCTTTTTTCGTCCTACTTTTCTGATCTCAATTAACATTGATGTATAGTAATGTCCTATATATCATAAAACTACAACCAGAAATACTAATTAGCTGTTTTATATTCCGACTTTTGTGTTACCTTTGAGAATCTATTTTTGGTTTCTTTGAATCAAATTTACTAACAAATGAATAGTAATTCAATTCAATTCACACAATTCATGAATTTTTTGTAGATCAAAGGGAACTACAACTGCTTAAGTAAAGCAGCTGCAAATCTGACAACTCGCTTCAAACCTGTTGTTGCTTGGATGGATTACAACGAGGTATTCCAAAAGATTCAGCTTTTTTTTTTCTTAAGAGAACAAGAGAGATTGAATTCAAAGAAAGCAAAAAAATGTTTGAAGCAAGAAAAAATCAGATATAAATGCCTTTCAAGACTGATGCTACATTCCAAATTTATTCATATTGAGTCAGTAAACTGATGCTTATTTCCTTTTTTTTTTTTTTTTT